GGTTAGTGTACCAACACAAGGCATGAGGGGACAAGTCGTCATCAGTCGTGAACGGGGTGATATTCCACGCTCGTATAGCTCGGTAGAAGGGGATCGTCCAACTAGTAAAGTCGGCGTTATCAGGATCGTCGAACTGGACACATTTGTTGATGTACGCATGTAGATCCTCGTGTGGACGTTCAGAAGCACCAGCCAAAGCAGGAGAATCTCTTGGCAACACTTTTAAGCAGATCGAGTGGCGATCGCAGAAGTATCTGAATGCCGAACTGACGAGTGAGGAATCTTGAGCAACCAACAGTATTTGTGGCCAGTCAGAGCTGTGGAACAAGACCTCAAGCTTTCGGATAACCTCAGAAGCTAACTTAGATTTGCATGTAGTGGCCCGTAAGTAGTTGGTAGCCATATCTATCACAACCAGCCCGTAGTTCTGACCGTCGGGGTCTTCACTTGAAGGATTCGCGGATGTGGAGCCACTGGCTCCGCTACATACTCGGTAGGGACCGGTCATGTCAACAGCACATACACGGAGACAGCCAATAGCACCAGGCCAAGGAATAGATCCCATGGACTGACGTTGTACACGATCAGCTCGAGCAAACTGGCACCGTTCACAGGCATCTACATAGCGTCGGCAATCACGAGCGATACCATGCCAGAAGTAGCGTTGCTTGAGCAGCTTCAATGTACCGACTCGTCCGCGGTGTCCCACTGCATGCGCTTTAGCGATCAATTTCTTCTTCAACTCGTCGTTGTGGATCACCACCTGATGTCGAGGTGTAGTCTTCACATCGTCCACCGAGTCGACGTCAATACCCACGATACGAGCAACTAAACCATTGGGTAGGACCTCATAATATGGACTTGCTCGGAATTCGTCGATCTTCGGATTAAATAACTGATCTTGGAGAAGTTCGTCAATCGTGACTTCGTCGTCCGTGTCGTCACTTCCGGTGGAGTTCAGACCCACAAACGTAAAGCCTTCCCCACATGTCGATGAACTTAATGGAGAACTACCCTGTGGGGTATCCTGGGGCGGCACCGGGAAGCAGAATGCCGGAGGAGATGTCAGTAGGCCTTCAGTGATGGTGGAGTGATGTAGAGGAGAAAGACATTCTCCAGGCTGAGGAGCTCGGGTGCCACGGTCGGCTGGATTGCATTCTCCACGAACATGACGGATTGATATTTGTAAACCCTTGTTGGTCAGATCGTTGACAATATCTTCGATGATCTTGAGACGGCGTTGTTCGAAGCGTCCAAGCTTAGCCTTGGCCGACTCGTTCTTGCGAAGACGATGAAGATTGATGGCGCTGTCCGTGAGAATCATATACCGTGATGGTCTTGGAGGATTAAGTCGTAGTACCTGATCAATCTTCTCAGTAAGCTGGACGGCATTTGTGAGCGCGATGAGCTCCTTCTGGACAATGGTCTGTCGAGCTGCTTGATCCACCGGGAAGAGCGAGAAACGACCAAACAACCGAGTATGGGTCGGGGTTCCATCTCGTACGTCCACGCAGTAGGCTCCACCACTGGCATCACAGAACACGAAGATACTCGTAGACGTATCCACATAACGAAGAATAGGTTGTTGTAGGGAGAGTGTACAGATCCAGTTGGCCAAGGAGTTCCGGAAGTCTTCCGAACAGAGGGAGTCCCAGGCTACGTCATTGTTGCCAATCTCACGAGCCAAAAAGCGAGCGAATACCAGACCTTCAAAGAAGAGTCCTAAAGGGTCGTAATAGCGGTTGATGAAACCGATAGCATCACGCTTAGAGATGAGAGTAGGGATCGATGTGCATTCATCGGTAGTACCATATTGAAAAGAAATAGTATCGGACCCTATGTCGACCTTATACCCAAGTACTGATCGATAAGTCGCTGCCGGACACGGCGAGAAGT